GTTTTTTTTGGTCTGTTTTCTTTCAAAACATGACTAATATGGAAATGTTTTGTATTACTGAACATGTATAATCTATATTAAATTGCTTGCCTTCTCAATGAGGTGGGAGGGAAGGAGAAAAGGAGGGAGAGAACTCGGAATTCAAAATTTTTAAAAATGAAAGTTAAAAATTGTCTTTACATGTAATTGTGGGAAATTTTTTAAAATAAAATAACAGTTTTAATTGAATATAAATTTTAAGAATGGAATATGGTAGCAAAATAGAATCTGCTTTGTGGTTAATCATGATTCAAGAGGCATTTATTAAATGCCTACCTACTGTGCTCCAGGGACCATGCTAGATACTGCAGATAAAAAAAATACAAAAACTATAAATAAATACAAAAAAATTAAATAGTCCCTGCTTTCAAGGATACAACAGAGACACAAAGAAGTAAATATAAAATACATACAGAGCAAATACAAACTTCAGCATGGAAGGCAGTGGGATCAGGAAAGACTTCAAAAGTTGGACAAACCAAGTGAGCTGGGAGGGAGTGTCTAAAAGGAATGAAGAGGAAAGTGCATTCCTCATGTTCTATGAAGAACAGACTGCAGAATAGACACAGAAATAAGAAATGAAAAATCCCATACATGGAAAGGTAAGTAGAACAGACTGGCTAGAATGTAGGATTTTGAAAAGGTGTGCTCAGTTTGGAAAGGTAGGCTGGAACCAAATTGTAATTAATGGTATATTTCTATTCTATAAAGCAAGAAATCACTGTATTTGCTAATATGCATTATTTGCCATAGAATTTTATTTTTTTGTGTATTCCTAAATAAAATGTGTACTACAAACAAATACCAACTGCCTTCTTTTGCAGAACGTAAAAGCTAAACTTTATCTTAAATAGTTAATGAGACGGAAGAGTTTTGTGGTTTTGGGGGTGTAAGGGAGTATGGCAAAGGAGTTACTAAAGTCTTCTGTTAATTTGTTAGAGTTAATGAATGAGTAAGTAAAATCCAGTAACTGTTGTTGTCACTTTAATTTCAATACAAGGTATAAAAGAAACAAGTAATACCATCTGAGTATAAAATATCATGGTTCTTTACTATGACAATGAACATGCACATACACAACTCTTAAGAGCTTCTATTTTACCAAGTATGTTTTACAATTAAAAACCAATTATTTAAAATTTTAGAGAAAAGTCACCATGCTAGGGCTATTCTCTGTATTGTACTCCTTTTACTAAACAGAAAATGAGTTAACCAAATCTGAAGGGAAAAATGAAGAGAAAGACAGTAATCACCATCAAGAAATAAATTTAACCCAAAAAATCTTTAATGTCTGAATAACCAAGTTTATAAAATACCTAAATCCTCATCAAAACATAAATTATAAAAGTACACATGAAATTTAGCAAAGCCCACCAAAAGTCACATCAATCAACCACTTTCGAACGTTAAACAGTAAGACTACCAATTTTCTTCCATGAGTACATAGATAAAAGGACAATATTACTCGAATTAAACGGGGCAACCTAAAATATAAACACTCATCTTCACTATCTTGTATTTTCTTCCTAGGCCCAAAATGAAGTATTCCTGAAGAGTTTCTGATAGCTCAGACTGATCAATGCAAATTAACATTCCTAAATGGGGAATAAATAATGAATTGTGCTAATTTTAATGCTTTTATTCCCAAAAGGTATTAATAAATAAAACCTTCCATCTTGATTTTTGTATTCCCCAAGAACTCACCGTATCATCATACTCATTGTTTGCTGGTTGTTTACGGTGTTTTCTCTCCCCAAATAAGACTGCTGCTCCTTTAAGACAAAGACTGTTTTCTATATCCACCACTATATCCAAAGTACAATGACACAAACACAATAGAAACACAATGACTTTTCAAACAAGATTCTTGCTCACACATGAGGAGTTTTTAAGGTAAGTCTCACCACAGCATGGTCAGAGCTCCAAGAAACTTCAGGTCATCTAGCCTAACCCATACTCATAAGAAATCCCCAATATGATATACCTGTTAAGTAGTCAGAACCATTCTTAACACTTACAACTTCTTTCCCACTCCAACCCAGCATATATAATGCCACCACATTTTTCAATACCTCAAAAGACATCTAAAGTGACATCACTGATATGATTATTTCTTCCACTAATGTAGAATGAAACTTCATCTATGCCTTAGTAGATTAAATAATTTCATGAGCTACTATTACCAAAAAATTCAGTCTTTCAGTGCTGAGTCCTCTCCACAGTTAACTAGGCTATAGTACATTGACAGGACCATACTCAAAGTTTTGTCATTTGGTAGGTGAAACCAGAGTTTGTACTGTGCTGGCAGAATTTTCAAGAAGTCAAGGTTCCTTCTATTCCATGAGGAATTAGAGTGACACTTTAAGAGGTTAATCTTCCTAAACCACTGCATATCACTTCCCTATTCAAAAGCCTTCAGTAACTCCCAGCTATGTATAAGAATGACCCAAACCATTTTACTTTGCATTAAGATCCTCTAAAATCTGTCTACAATCTACTTCTCCAAACTCATTCCTTGCTACTACTTGGCTATACAGAACTATCTTACCAGACTGGCCTGCTCACGGTGTCTTGAATACACTCTTCATATTCCTATTTCCAGGACACTGCTTACCTTGTTGCTTCTGCCTAGAAGGACTTTCCTTTCTCTTTTTCTAATGTCAAACCAACTTTTTATGCTACTAAATCTAATAGCAATGCCTCTGTAAAGCATTCGCTGATCACTATTAGTGATTTCTCCTTCTTGCTCTCCTCCTTCCTGTTTTCTAAATTGTGTAACTATTTAGTGTTTATTATGTACCAACGTGACAGTAAAATCACAGAATTCAGGCTGTAAAGGCTTTGGTTTCATCTTATTCAACCCTCTCACTTTATAGAAACTAAAGCCTAAAGAGGTAAAGTTACTTGTTCAAGGTCACATAACTAGTTAATGGCAGAACCAAGATTGGAACTATGGTTTCTTGTCAAGTATACTTTTCACCATACCATAATTATTCATCACCTTTTTGTGTATATGTCTTATCTCCCCAACTAAGCCAGTGAGGACTAAGAGTTTAAATCCTGGTTTCCCTTAATTGGCCCTGAAGGCTAAGTTAGCTCAGTTAAATAAGTACTTATTAATCATTTAGAGTAGAGGTATCAAACACAACATTTCAACAGAACTAGAATTAGATTAAAATGTAATTGGGAAATATTTAACAAAACAAACAAAAAATTTTTTAAAATGACATTTTAAAACCGACCCAATACGTGGCTTGCAGAGATCCTTCTGTAGAGAGGAGTGACCCTGTTTCTATTTGAGTTTGACACCAGTGATTCAGAGGACAAGTTATGGTGAAGTAGACAACTGCCTCAGACACATTGTGAGGGGAACAGAGTTTCATATGTTCAACTGCATTCAAATACATTCCTGAAAAGTCTGTAATGCTTATATACAGTCTTAGTTTCCAAATGAATAACATTCTAAAATTATAAATTATTAAGGAAAATGTTATCTCTAAAACAACTAAATTTCAATCTTTGGGGCTGGAATCCTTTTTTCAACATGGACAGTGTTTTATTCTGACTGTCCTATAAATGAACAAGATTTTCCTTCCCCTATTTCATTATGTCTGAAATTCTTGTGTCTAAAACGTTTAGTGTCTTTTTTTTCGCACTTGTTACTAGGTAAAACTTCTTCAGTTATCTGGCTAGTTGCTAATTATTATAGCATACTCCTTTGGGATACAGTCTCAGAAAAAAAGGGGGGGGACTTTCCAGCGTGACAGACTAATTTTAGGGTCAGCTTCTTGGACTACAAGTATAATTTACAAAAGTTAAATATTCAAACCATCACTCAACACCTAATTTTGGTCTTATTCTGAGTATGAATGCACTAGAAATGTGGCCAAGAACACTTAATATCTTATGTAAACATGAAATTCTATAGTATAGGTAAATTTTCAAGTAAAATATGAAAAAAAAAATTGTTCCTTGCCTTAGTTCAATTCTTTATGTTGGGTTGCTACTGTAGGACAAATATTATAATGTTTACAACTTCTAATAAGTCCATTTATTTTAAGAAATACCAAAAGCAAATATATTCCAGTACACAAAATAATTTAGACAGTATTAATGGAATCCAGTGCCAGTGGACTTGATTTTTAATCCCATATATCTTAAGACATATATAAGTATTGTTATGATAAAATAATTGTTCTTCCATGGGTTAATTCTAAAAATTGGGTGGGGGCAGAGAAGACCAGGTAGAATTAAACACAGAACTCCACACTTAACCCTTATGTTACTGAATATCCGTCATATCCATGGGATGACAGGCTGAGAAGTTACAATGAAAGGAAATTATTTGTTTAGGCAGCTACCTTTACAACCAGCTTCTGAAAGATCCTTCAGACAGGTGATATACTACTCAATCTCCCAGAACTGTTACTCACTAGACCCACCAGAAACTATACCTATTCTCTTGGATTGATTATTAAATAAGTTTTCAGAGACAAAGATAAAACAAAAACTTTAAGGGTTTCTTGCCTTTCCATAACAATAATGAGACCAGCTTTTGCAAGAGCAAATTTGTGGAGTACGGGCAAGTGTCAAATTCGTTCTCTAGCACCTCCCCTCCTAGCTGAATCCTCAAGACCTCAACAGTTCTTCAATCTTACGATAGAAATGTAAATAAAAGTTCTTCAGCATCTTCTTGTGACATAAGAATCTCCACCTTTAAGTAGTATTGATCAGAACTGTAATTAGGCTAATCAGAAGTTGCAGTAGTTGTTTTTTTGGAAATGACCCATATATCCTTGGCACTAAGTATGTGCATTTTCATTGTGTCCAGATCAGAGAAGGCCCCCAAGGCATTGATACTAGTCCCAATCAGCACTCCTAGCTTCTCCCAGACAACAGTCATACACACTAACAACTGGTATTGCAATATATGATATATTTACAATTAAAAACACGTTTACCTTTCTTTCTTTTAAAAGCTTCTTATAGCCATTTGATCCCAGTGATAGTAAGGTAATAACAATATCTAAAGATGGGGAAGCTGAGGCTCTTCCTGAAACAATAAAGAACAGATTATTCTCATAAAAAGACATTGCTCTGGGAAAGAAAAGCTGTCACAGGGGTAAAACAAATGCAATTTCTTCTGAAGGACAATTAGTTTATTTACCTGGATACATCTTGCTGATTTCTTGAATGAAGGAATCACTGAAGCCAGCAATAATAGCACCACCTACTGGAACCATAAAATTTTTGTCCAAGCTCTGAACGAAGGCATCTATTCTACCGACTCGAGCACCCTAAAATCAAATGACGTGAAATAATAGACATTTATTACTATAGGCTACCATCAGATGTACAGTAACTGGAGTAAAGAAATAGCAAGGAATATTATTAAAATAAGTACAAATTAAATGAAGCTAAATAAAAATAGTTTTCTTACAAGCTTAATTCTGCTAGTTAGCAGAATTAAATATCAGTCTTTTTCTTTAAAACCAATTTTAACTTTTAGAGAAATAAAGCAGTACAGAAACATATTTTTAGTCTTAGTACTTTGAGCCATTCATGAAAAATAAATGTTAATATCTATAAATCTGCCACAGTATAGAATCACTTTTTTATCCACTCAACAAAAGTTTACTATCCATCAAGTCAATAGGTATATTTAGCTCTATTTTTCCTGGAATTGTGGGAATACAAAAAGAATAAAAGATTCCTATCCTCAAAGATTCTTCAGTCTAGTTTAGCAAGCAAGTCCATTTCTGGTACTGTGGTCAGCCTGTCCCAAGGTACAAGATGGCATGCCAAATTTGGGGAGTAGCACAGTAGGCCAGTTTGGCTAGAAGGTCGAGTATGTGATTGGGAACAATGAGAAATAAGCTTGGAAAGGCAGTTTGGAGACAGATTGAGAAGAGCCTTAAATGCTATTAAGAAATGACCAATTGAATAATAAAAATTGCAAGTAGGAATTGAACTGCGGCTCAAAGAACTCTAAGATTTGGACTGGCAGGAAGTATAACAAGAGAGTACTCCATTTAGGTGAAATATCATAAAGAAGCAAAAATGAGAATGACACATATAATGCACATAGCATATATAACAGAATAGTAACTTGAGTAGAAGATTCATGCTTTTCCACTTTCTCTGGAAAACCAGAGAAAAGGAGATAAGCACCCCAAGGGGAAAGGTCTCAGAAACAAAGATTGAGGAGACAGCATGGGGCCTGTAGGGTCGAGATAAAAAAAATGAACAACACATGGAAAGTTAAGCCATTCTCACTGGTTAAAGAATCACTGGAACTTAGCTCTGAGTCTTGTGGGCACACATTTACATTATATCACTTCCATCTCTCAGCTGTTATTTAGAATGAATCCTTTTTATTTGGGGGGGGGAGAGGGCCAGGGAAGGCAATCGGGGTAAGTGATTTGCCCAGGGTCACATAGCTAATAAGTGTCTGAAGCTGGAATTGAACTCAGGTCCTCCTGACTGTAGGGCCAGTGTTCTATCCAATGTACCACCTAGCTGCCCCAAATTACTCTTAACATCAGCTAATATTCCAATACACTTCAATATTTATCTCAGTTCAAACAAGAAGTGCAGTGCAATAGAAACTTAGAAATGTTAATTACTCCACACAAACACAGGAATAACTGGTCTCCCAAAGCACACATCTAAGATTTAATAGTTAAGTACCAATAGTATTTTCTACACCTAAAGAAAGCAGCTCTGACCATTGTCTGTAAGATTCAGGATGACTATACAGAATCCAAAGAAGGTCCATAAATTGCTCAAAGCTCCTCGTGAATTGGATTCCTGCTTTACATGAGTACTTTAAACACAAAGTTTTGCTTTAATTATGATGCAAAATAAAACAAGACAAAACTTTATCCATAAGATCAAAGAAACTGAGATTGGTTCTGTTTTGCAAATCCTAAAAGTAATACTTCTCTGTATAATTCCCTATCACATAATTATTTCTGAATTATTTAATTCTATTGCTAATAAACATTTTCAAGTAAAAATTTAAATGGCAATAAGTCCTAGTGAAAACTAGAAAACTTATAAATGGGAAATATGAAATTAAGTCCTAATGCCTAGCCTCTACAACCTGTGCTTCAGTCCCCTCATCTGATAAATGATACTATCTATCAAGTCCTGCTCAGACAGATTTTTCTTTATTTGCATCCACAACTTTCCTATCTGTATTAACAGTTCCCATAAATATGTATTATAATCATATTTTAACCTATAGCTCCATATCTGCTCTTTATAACATTTGGGAAGAATACAGGGACTATACTTGGCTTGTATGGAGAATATGTTTTCTTTTAATGTTATTGCCTTTTGCTTCTCTTCTTCTAGACTGTCCTTCACTTCTATATATTTGCATTCCCAATTCCTTGATCTTTTGTTTGTTTCTTTGGTGAGACTAGCCCCTGCAAATTCAAATTTTTCTATTCTGCCAATTATTTGTATTTTGCCAATAATCCAGGGGCACAGGTCATAAATTCTGCTCTCACAATTCTCATTTCTCTTTTAAATTACTCAGGAACAACGTTATGTCATTCTCTACTAAAAACACATAGGGTTAAAGGGACCTATCTGTACAAGGGCACTTACAGCAGCTCTTTTTGTATTGGCAAAGAATTGGAAATTGAGGGGATATCCATCAATTGAGGAATGGCTGAATAAGTTATGGTATATGACTGTAACAGAATACTACTGTGCTATAAGAAATGAGGAGCGGGATGATTTCAGAAAAACCTGTAAAGACTTAAATGAACTGATGCAGTGAAGTGAGTAGAACCAGAACATCATACAGATGAACAGCAATATTGTATGATGAAGAACTGTGAATGGCTGTAGCAATACAATGATCCAAGAAAATCTCAAGGACTCATGATGAAAAATGCTATCCCCTTCCAGAGAAAGAACTGGTGAAGTGTGAATAAAGACTGAAGCTTACTATTTTTCACTTTCTTTCTCTCTTTTCTTTTCTTTTTTTGGTTCAAGTTTTCTTCCACAAAATGACTAATATGGAAATATGTTTTGCATGAGTCCACATTTATAACCTATATATCAAGTTGCTTACTGTCTCAGGGAGCGGAGAAGAGAGAGAAAAAGAGAAGGAAAGAATTTGGAACTAAAAAAATGTTAAAATCTGTTTTTATATGTAATTAAGGAAAAAAACAAAATACTTTTTAAAAAAGGAAAAAAAAAAGAAAATACAGAAGGGTCCTCTGCCTTCTTCAGATTTGAATCATTTCCCCTTATTTTACAGTATTTGTTCATAAATGCTGAACTCATTTACTAGATCTAAAAACCATTATTTCCCTCAGCTAACATGTCTTTCTTAACTGGTTTATCTTTTATGCTCATGGTTTTTTGAGTTTTTTTCTTCATGAGATCTTCGGTATTTTAGTCTTTTTTCCCCTTATTTTCCCCTATTGCTCACTTTCTGACTCCCTTCCTCCTCTGATGATGGTTTCCCTGGGTCTCCAAGTGTCTCAGTCTCCTCCTATTCATATTTTATTCATATTTTACTAGTCTAGGTCTGTGCTCCAAGTGTTTTTTTTGTAGGGACAGAACTAGTCCTAGCTGGATGCTGGGGCTCTTTCTCTCAGACTTAGTGGAATGGTACACAGCCCTTCACACAGAGTATCCTGCTCTGTTCTCTCAGTTCTCTGGACCAACAATAAAGAACACTGCCACCCTTCTACTATCAGCCTGGACAAATCTCTGCTGTTTGAATTTTTAGAAATTTGGATATCTGCAGATATCTGGACAGAGGCAGGGATCAGAGTATAGAGAGGAGCTCTATTACAAGCCTAGATACATGTTCTGCCCCATTTCCTCTGTTCCTCTGCTCTCCTCCAGAGCTGGATTGCAGCACATCATTATCATCATAGCACTGGCTATCATGACCTCAGCACATTTTTTGGAATTTGGAGCTTGGATCTCCAGACAGTGGAAATGAAGGTTAGTCAGGATATGGGGTTGCCTTCTGTCGTAAACCCATGGACGGGGTTGGTTAGTGCAGCCTTGCTGCTAAGAGCAGTGGAAGAGGGGGTGTTGAGCGTGTACAAGTTCGGTATTATTCATGGAGCTTTTATCTTCTTTGGGTTCTCAGTGATCTAGATCAGAAGTATCAAATATATGTTCCCAGCCCATAGAACAGCTGAGTGCAACTAAAACCAGATTAAAATGTAATTGGGAAATATTTAACAAAATAAATAAAAATAAAATAAAACATAGATACCATTACATTTTAAAACAAAGTTAATATGTGGCCTAATGATATACTTATGTACAGTTTAATGGCCCCTGCTTCTATCTGAGTTTGACACCACTGTCCTAGACTATGAAGAGAGATGAAATTGCTTTGTCTCTGATGCATGATTTGGAGAGTTTGTGAGGAGCAGAGAAAATGTGCAGTCCTCCGTCTTGTTGGTCATATGACCTGGAAGTCCAAATACAGGGAATAAAAGCTACTCTGAGATCAAAAGCCTAACAATCACATGGATCAGAAACAGAGTACTAAAGAAGTACTACAGCCTAACTCTTTAAATCTTTAACATCCTTAGTAAATCACTATTTTTGATTACCCCATGACCCAAGTTGACCAGGAACAAATCCCAGCACTAGCATAATGAAGAAAAAAAGTAACAGACCCATAGAATGTAGTAAAAACAGCTAAGAACACAAGTGTTAAGGTCAGAGTTACATTTTCACAATCTCAGGCTACTAAATATTTCTTAAGATGTCCCAAAAGAAAAAACTGAGACCATACTGTAAAGCAGGAATGGCAAGAAGTAATGTACCCGTAAGCAAAACTTTACACCAGCACTCCCATTCCTTCATCATAAAGATAAATACATGACAATGAACTGCAGACTGAGGTCAACATATTTTAGTTGGGGAAAAATACTGACAGATAATTGAAGGTCTAGAAATAGTTGCTGTTAGGTACCTGAACCTTAGTCCACATCTTGAGGTCATGAGACTGTGAGTAAGAAAGAGTCTGCTGAAAAAATGAAAGAGCCTAAAGGTTACAGAATAGAAGAACTGTGGGGATCATTTATCTCAACCCTTTCCTTTAATAGATGTGGAAACAGACACAGAGAAGTCAAGCATTTTTCAAGGTCATTACAGTTAGTACATGGCAAAGCTACAACATGAGCCAGTCATCTAATTCCATGCTCATTTTCTCTGTGGTAAAATAGGAGTACTCCTCGAGTTGCATTGGGATGGGAGTAAGAAGTAGGAGCACTGGATTTCTCCCCATTCTAAACACATAAAGGAAGACTTGAGCTCGAGGTATCCCTCTTAAAGAATAAAATTTATGCATCTATGTGTTAGCACTTCCTCTTTCTCTATGACCTTATTCTGGCCTCCACACTCTCTAATTCTAGACTTTTCTGAACTGGTATTCTAAGCTTTGGTGAGTAATATGTTAACAGAAGTAGTAGATACATTCAAAAGTACCCTGTTTTTAAAAGATAAACTTTATTATACTTGAAAACTTAATTTTTAATTAAAAACTATTTTTTACCTGTTGTATGAGATGCATACACTTTGAAGATTGTACTCCATATGCATTGTTGACTATATGTGGAATATCATAATTAGCACATATCACAGCCAGTTCTTCCAATCTACAAACATAAAAATATAATTTAGTGACACTCATATGGTATACTGTAAACTTACAGTATTCAAATTATTCTTTGATTTAACAATATTCAGCTTTCATGTTTACTGCAGTAAAGCTTAATGACTGACACAAGTGTCACTCAAATATACTAAAAGCCATTTTATTATTTTACAGCAACAAGCAAAGGGCTTTTCAATTCAAGTAATGATATCAGGTGATAAAAGGCAGCATATATTTAGAAAATTTTACTTTAATTGTCTAATATACTAAAAAAGGTAAGTTCTGACCTGTGTCAAACTAGTGAAGCATTTTTAAATCTCTATTTAATTGTGTATATTGACAAAAAAAAATTAAGAACTGAATTTTTATGACCAAGAAATCAAACTTACCAGTCACAAATTAAAAAAATACTTTACATTTATTTTTCTATGTTGGTGCCAACTTTTAAAAACTTTTTAGATAATTAAGATACTGAGGATACTTTAAAGGAGATGTCCATTCAACTCTAAATCTAAAATATTGTTATTGAGAGTCTGAAAATTTATAGTGAGAATTTGATAACCTATGAAAAAGTTAATGGCTTTAGATCAAAGTCTAATAAGAAGATGCCCCTTCACAGAACTAAAAGCCACTTTTGATATTACTTGTTTGGAACCCTTATTAACTGTATGAACCTAAAACAGGAATTTTTTTTGCTAATGTGAAATATAAAAGAATCTATATTATATTAATGCAGTTTTGGCCAAAATGAATGCAAACACAGTATTTGCTTCCTTGATGTTACTGAAAGGAGGAGTGCAGTTTGACAGAAGTTAATGCATGTAAAGGGAAACAATATGAAGCTAAGACTGGAAATGCAAGATTAAAGAGTGCCTTAAATGTCCGACAAAACAGTGTATAAAATCATTTTGGTTACTGTGTAAATCATTTCTTTTTACAATATGTGGTCTTTCTTAAAAACTTAAAAAATGTATACTACTGCTATATCTGTAACTTTCAAATGACCTGTTTGAATTTCTGTTAAATGAAAACATTTCAGTATTCATTTTAAAAAATAAAACCTACAAATTTAATACGACTATTTCTCACACGAACAATTAAAGTAGTCTTTAAACACATTATAAATCCTAGAAAACATACAAATAGTTTCTTTTTAAACTATAATAAAAATTAAATAAAGAATAAAAATAGCTCCTAGATTATGTCCTGGAAGCAGGAACTACAATAATACAAAAATATTATTAAAGAAATTAAGTGCATTTCAGACAACCTGCAATGGCTATCCAGTAAGCCATCTCAAACTCAGTGTGATCAAAAAGGAACTTATTATTTTTTTCCTGAAGTTTAAACTAGGGGTGGGGAACCTGTGACCTCCAGGTCACATGTGGCCTTTTAGGTCCTTGGGTGCAACCTTTTGGCTGAGTCCAAATTCAATAATCCTTTTATTAAGGAGATTTGTTCTGTGAAGTTTGGATTCAGTCAAAGGGCCACAAGTGGCCTCAAGACCACAGGTTCCCTACCCCTGGTCTAAACCCCCTCCCTACCCACAACCTTCATTATTCTTATAGAGGGCAACACCATCCTTTCAGTCCCACAGGCTCACAACATAGAAGGCATCCTGGACTCCTCACTATCTCTTATCTCCCCATATCCAAACTGTTAGCAAGGCCTATTGATTTCACCTCTGCAAAATCTCTCGAATATGCCCCCTTCTCTCCTTTGATGCTACTACCACTGTAGTACAGGACCTCATCACAAGGACTATCACAGTAGTCACTGGTGGATCTGCCTGCCTCAAATCTTTCCCCACTCTAATCTATGCTCCATTCAGCCATTAAAGTGTAGGCCCAATCACTCCCCTACTCAATAAACTCCAGTGACTTCCTATTGCCTCCAGGAGCAAATACAAAACACTTTGTTTGGCATTCAAAGCCCTCCATAACCTAGCCCCTTCCTACCTTTCCAGTCTTCCTCACCTTACTCCATGAGACAAATTCTTTGATCCAATGATACTGGTTTCCTGGCTATGCCACAAACAAGATACTCCATCTCTCAGTTCTGGGGTTTTTCTCTGGCTGTTATCTACGCAAGAAATGTTCTACCTCCTCCGCTCCCAATATTGACCTGCCAAACTTTCTTTAAATCTCAACTAAAATTTCACCTTCTACAAGAAGCCTTCCCTATCCCTCCTTCATTCAAGTGCTTCCCCTCTATTAATTATTTCTATTTATCCTGCATATAGTTTGCTTTTTATATATTTGTTTGCATGTTGTCTCCCCCATTAGATTGTAAGCTCCTAAAGGGCAAGGACTGATTTTGCCTCTTTCTGTATCCTTAGTGTTTAGCACAATGCTGACACATAGTAGGTATTTAATAAATGTTTATTGGTTGACTGAAGTTTAGAACATTTTCAGACTGGCAACAAATTTTTCAGCAACTGCAACTTTCCAAGCCTATCTTTATGCTGTAATAGGGCTGAATTTGCATTGGTAAAAAAGAATTTTCATGCCAACAAATTCTGGTCACTTGAAATGCTTAAGTAATATATAATTATATTAATTATAATTATAATTATAAAGTTAATTTATCTACAGAAGACATATTTGTTGTTAGTCTAGTTCCTTACCATTCAATCTCAGGGATATAGGATACAGAAGATAATATATGTAAAATGCCTTGCAAATCTTCAAGCATTATATACATATTAACTATTATTATTATTATTATTATTGTTAGGATGGTGAAAAAATTTGATTACCTGTTCAATTTTTTAGCCAAGTACAAGGTCATATAAAAACATCAAAGAGATTTGTAAAATATTATAGAAGTTATTTATTTCTAACACATCTGAATTTTTCAAGTACTCAAGCTACAAATAAAACAAAAGATCTCTAATTTGAAATAATGATTCAACAACTAAATTGACATAAATTTATATTACTATTAAGATAAAGTAATTACTCATATCCACATGTAGAATTTTATAACACAGTCAGTCAATAAGCATTTCTTAAGATTCTCGTGCACCAGGGACAGGCACAGGGATAATGGGAATACAAACACAAGCAAAAATAAATACAATCTCTGCCCTCAGCTAGCTTACATTCTAATAAGGGAAGACAATACATAAAAGGGAGCTGAGAAGGCAGTGCGGAAAGAGAAGGTACTCACACAGTGAAGGGGGGGCAAAGTCTGTCAAGTCAGGAATGGGCTGTGAGAGGAGTGAAGGATGGCTGGCCTCAGCCTTTCCTCTAAACAGAAGTTTCAGGAAGAACTCACCAATGGGAGGAAGGGACCCAGGGGTTGAGGAATCTTTCAGAGTAAAAAGGCACAAAAAAAAGGGGGATCTTCCAGGGTGAGAAGACAGCTGAAGCATTGTGGTGAAGTCTGAAGAGTCAGGAACAGGCTGGGAGAAAAGACTGTTTTTTTTCCTTATTTAAAAAATCTTTTTGTTTATTTTTAACTTGCTTTTCTCTTTAAATTTTGAATGTAGATTCTCTCCTTCCCTTTCACCTCTCCTCCCCACAGTGAGAAGGGAAACAATACGATATCAATTATACATTTGAAATCATGCAAAATATATTTTAATATTAGCCATGTTGAAAAAAAAAGGTAAAAAAAAAAGAAAGAAAGAAAATTATACTTCAATTTGCACTCAGAGTTCATCAGTTCTCTCTCTGGAGGTGGATGGCATTTATCATAAGTCCTTTGAAACTGTCTTGAATCACTGTGTATTTATTAGCATAACAAGCCTTTCAGGTTGATCATCTTTACAACATTGCTGTTACTGTGCACAACGATCTCCAGATTCTTCTCGCTTTACTTTGCATCAGTTCATATAGGCCTTACCATGTTTTTTCTAAAACCTCCTCCCTGATCATTTCTTACAGTATAAAAGTACTTTATCACAATCATATACCACAACTTGCTCGGCCACTCCCCAACTGATAAGCATCCCCTCATGTCCAATTCTTTGCCACCACAAAAAGAGCTGCTTCTTATAAATATTTTTGTACTTAAAGGTTCTTTTCCTTTTATCTCTTTGGGGTATAGACCTAGTAGTCATATTGCAGAGTTTTATAGCCCTTTGGGTATAGTTCCAGACTGTTCTCCAGAATGGTTGGACCAGTTTACTACTCCACCAACAATTCATAATACCTATTTTCTCTCATCCCCGTAGTATTTGTCATTTCTGATAAGTACAAGGTGGTACCTCAGAGTTGTTTTAATTTGCCTTTCTTTAATAAATACTAATTTAGAGTATTTTTCATGAAGTCACATGAAATATAGACAGCTTTGATTTCTTTTTCTGAAAACTGCCTGTTTACATCCTTTGACTATTTATCAATTGGGGAATGGTCCTTATTTTTATAAATTTGACTCAACTCCCTACATATTTGAAAAATGAGTCATTTATCAGAGAAACTTGCAGTAAATTTTTAAAAATAATTATTCCATTGTCTACGGTACTTTTTTAGCAAAACGTGGCTTCCCTGATTATCTTCTTTCAATTAGGTTTAATTTTGCTTTTCCTTTGTCTGAGATCATGAGTGTCACCCCTGCCCTCTTCACTTCAGCTGAAGCATAACAGACTCTGCTTCAGCCCTTCATTTCAACTGGCTTTCTGTCCCAAGTGTGCCTCTTGAATACAACATACTGTTGGATTCTAGTTGCCAATCATTCTGCTTTCCACTTCCATTATATGGGAAATTAGTTCCTCCCATTCACATTCACAGTTATGACACCTCTCAGTGCATTTCCCTCTATCCCATTTTCCTATTTATCCGTCTCTTTTTATTCTGTTCCTCCTCAAAAGTCTGGCTTGCTTCCAACCCCTAATCCATCCTCCCCTTTAAAACCTCACCCCCACATCTCTTATCTCCTTTCCCATCCTATCTCCCAATTGTGCAAGACAGATTTCTATACCCAACTGAACATGTATATGTATTCTTCCCACTTTGAACCAATTTTGATTAGAGTGAGTTTCAAGCATTGCTTACC